GACGCGAATGCGTTCCGATTCGTTCGACATAATTAAACATGCACTCTAGACTAGTTGATCAGGTTGATCGTTATCGAGAAGTTCTCTTGATAACGTGCTCGCGCGTGCGCGCGCTCTTGACGGTCCATCCGGAAAGGTCGCGAGACGAGGCGCGCGGGCAAAAGCGAAGGCAATGACGGCTTTGTCTCGTTACTGCCGGCAAGCAGTGGTGGCGACGGGGAGAGGAAGGCGAGGAGTCAGCGAGGATGATCCGTAGCCTGAGCTGAAGATGGAGGCACGATAACGACGACGGAAATTGAATTCTCTCACCAGTTATCCCGCTGCGAAGAGAGTGCATGCACACACGCATCGATTCGCCCCGCGAATCGTATATAAGCCGAGTATCGACGAGCTGCATGTTGAAAGAAAGAGAGGGAGAAGGAGAGAAAAGGGCGGCAGCAAGCGAGAAAGACAGAAAGAGAGAGAGGAAAGGAAGGAACCCACAGTTCTGTCCTTCCTGTTCCTTTTGTCTCGGCAACGCGGTATAATACGGATGGGTGCACGTAGGCTACCTCGAAAGGCGAAGCCCGCAACGGCCGCTCTACGCAATACCTGCGGCATCAGCGTCGTTTTACCTGCCACGCGAGACAAAACATGGAGACGCTTGTAAAAAAAAAAAGAGCTTCGTTTCCTCGCGGAGGAAATCTCTATCCGTGTGATGGTTTTATACGAGCTAAGAAATCATTGTTAGAGTACCCGCGCGTATACTGGAGATGAATGTTAAAAGTAGATGAATATCCGCGAAAAATGCTTCACTATAAATCCTTTGACATCGTCAGCAACGCCCAACGATGGAGGACTCGTTCGTTGACGATCTGTGATAATGGACAATCCTTTTCATTCGCGCTGAATAAAGTTTGAGAGCGCAGTTTGTAATAACAAAGCGATAGGTGGTTCAGGATATATAAATGCAGGTACACTAAAGTTCTGATTGTAAGATCTAAAGTAGAACACAAAATTATGATAAAATCAAGATAACATCAAGTAGGAGTCGTTTAAAAATATCGTCACGTCATTCGACATTTTTGACGAATTAATTTTGTGATAGAAGAGATAAAAATTAAAAATTATTATCATGTCAAAAATATCGTCAACAATATATCAAATAATATCATTAAAATTTTTTTAAAAATAACTCCTACTTTATGTAAACTTGATTATAATTTCATGTTCTTGAAATTTTCAAAAATACATAAATTATTTTTTATAGCAACTCATAATTTCATACAAACTAATTATCACTTTCAAATTCTTACACGAAAAGAATAACAATTTTGCTGCTTGCTCTAAAAGTTTAACTACGAGTAGATAAAGATCTGAAAATAATTTGTTGAATCATGAAACTAAAATTTGTGTAAAAAATTAAAGCGTGATACTGTAAACACTTTTGATATTCTAACAACTAGATTGAGTGCCTTACATAACTATTTTCATAGTCTAATAAGATCATTTTCAAATCTGTATTTGATTAAATCTTTAGAGATATTTGAGCAAAACTATATCCTTTCCGTGTAATATCGATCCGCGTCGCTGTCTGCTTTACTTGACGCAGAAAATGTAATCGTGCGATTTAATTAGCAATTAAATATAAGTGTTGAGAGACGTTTAATTCCGTTTCCGTTCCATTCGTCGTCGTAAACTTAAATGACGTCTATGCATGGCTTCCTTGTTTGTAATTGCGTAATATGACGACTTCTAAGCGCGCGTGATCGGCGCGCGAACGCGTATTTTATTGTCTCTGTGCAGCCTCAAGCATAACCGCCGTCGATGGTCTGGTTAGTAAAATTGTACCTAGGAGCGTGTCCAATCGACATTACGATAATTTATGGCTTAAATAAATGCCCGATCGGTGTACGAACGTGTACAGGTATCAATTTACATGACGCAACGGATATGTAACCTGATATATCGTGGTGTGGCGGCGGGGTACACAGGCATACCCACGTCCGACGGTTCTCATCGCAACTATTGGCGCAAGCGATATAAAGTAGCAACGCGGGAAAGAAAAAAAGAATTCTCACGTGGGAAAAGGTGCGCGGGATCTGAACTCGATTACTCGGTGAACGAGAAATTTGTCGGTTAAACCCGATCGACGATTAAATACGAATTATCGCGAACACAAATGAGTTACGCTCCGTTGACGATATAACGAACGTACGCATCGAAACACGAGATTCGTGGATAACCAAATTTGCAAACGCAATTTTGCATCGATTCTGTCCTGAACTCGATGATGAACCCTATATCTAAACAGCTAGTGTAACCAGCCGTCTCGGTTTTATAGGATTCAATACCGCATTTAATTGAGATGTATATTTTCGGGATCATTGACTGCTCCGGTTTTTAGCCTGTTTCCTGTTATGTATTATTAACATTTATCGTCATCAAATTAGTAACGTGTAATACCACTGTATAATTAACGTAATATTCATGTTTTTAATCATTACGGTCATTTTGCTATCGATTTACTTTATTCAAATATCTCATAACAAATCTAAATATCGTGCATAGAAAGCAACAAATTTTAAAGTTAGATTATTTTAAGTCGACTCCTCCTTTCACATGATATATGCTGCGTGATTGCGTGAGATCCTGAGAAACATTTTTTCCGACCATAAGTTGTTTTTTCGCCTTTAAGATTCAATTGTGTCAAATTCCCAAAGTATTACTAACATTTATTGAAAATCATAACATATATCATCGCTATATAATTAACGTAATTTTCATACTTCTGATCATTACAATTATTTTGCTAATCAATTTGCTTTGCTCAAACATTTCATGACAAATCTAATCGTATATCGTAGAAAGTAACAAATTTTAAAACCAGAATCGAACTTCCTTTTGCAACATTTCGCGTGATATATTAGTAGGATCTTGAGAGCCATTTTTTTTCGATTATATGCTCCAATTTTAAGATTCAGTTTTCTTCTCGAACCAAACTCGTTCGATTCAGGAGACGATGATTCTACTGGAGTAAGCGAAGCTTAC